CTTCCTCATGTAAGTGAAGAAAACATAAACTTCTGAATTTGCCTTTGACTTTCTGAGTTTGGCTTATTTTGCTTAACAAAATGGTCTCAAGTTCCATCTATTTCTCCTGCAAATGACATAATTTCATTTTTCTTTATGGGTGAATGAAACTCCATTGTGTATATAAACCACATTTTCATCATCCACTCATCTGTTGATGGATACCTATGCGGGTTCCATAATTTGGCTATTGTGAATTGTGCAGTTATAAACATTAGTATCACTATAATATAATGACTTTAATTCTTTAGGTGAAATACTGAGGGGTGGTATAGCTGGGTCATATGGTTTTTCCATGCCTAGTCTCTTGAAGAACTTCCATACTGATTTCCATAGTAGTTGTACTAATTTATAATCCTACCAACAGTGTAAAAGTGTTCCTTTTTTCTCCACATCCTTTCTAGCATTTATTTTTATTTGTATTCTTGATGACTGCCATTCTGACTGGTGTGAGATGAAATTTCTGCCTAGTTTTGATTTGTAGTTCCTTAAATGCTAATGATGTTGAACAGTTTTTTTATACATTTGTTTACCATTCATATTTCTTCTTTTGGGAATTGTCTGCTTAATTCATTTGCCCATTTATTAATTGGGTCATTTCATTTTTTGGTGCAAAGTTTTTTGAGTTCTTTATATATTCTACGTATTAATCCTCTGTCAGAAGAGTAGCTAGCAAAGATTTTTCTCCCATTCTGTATGTTCTCTCTTCACATTCCTAATTATTTCCTTTGCTATAAGAAGCTTTTTAATTTGACACAATCCATTTATTAACTCTTGGCATTATTTCCTGAGCTTTGGGGGTCCTATAGAGAGAGTTGTTGCTTGTGCCTGTATGTTGGAATGTTTACCTTACATTTTCTTCTAGGAGTTAAAAAGTTTCTGATCTAATTCCTAGGTCTTTGCTCTATTTTGAGTTGATTTTTGTGCAGGGTGAGATATAAAGGTTTGTCTTATTCTTTTTTTAAATTTATTTATTTATTCTAATTTGTTATACATGGCAGCAGAATGCATTTCAATTCATAGTACACTTATGGAGCACAATTTTTCATATCTCTGGTTGTACGCAAAGTAGAATCACACCATTCGTGTCTTCATACATGTACCTAGGGTAGTGATGTGCATTTCATTCCGCCATGTTTTGTCTCATTCTTGTACATATGGATAACCAGTTTTCCAAGGACCATTTGTTAAAAAGGCTGTCTTTTCTCCAGTGTATGTTTTTGGTAACCTTGTCAAGGATTAGATGACTGTAGATGGGTGAATTTGTCTCTCCATGCCTTTTATTTTATACCATGGGTCTATCTGTCTGTTTTTATGCCAGTATTATGCAGTTTTTGTTACTATAGATCTGTAGTGTAATTTGAAGTCAGGGATTGTGATGTTTCCAGTGTTGCTTTTTTTGGTTTAAAATGGCTTTGGTTAATCTGGTTTTTTTTTTTTTTTTTTGGTTTTTTTTATTCTTCCAGATGAATGTTAGGACTGTTTTTCTAGTTCTGTGAAGAATGCCATTGGTATTAGATCACTTCCACTCAATCACTTCTTGTAATGGAGACGAAGCTGTGAGATCATTGTATAGAGGAGAGATCCTCACCCAACGCTCCCTGCCCATGGATGAGGTCTATTTAATCCTCTCCCTTGTTTAATCACTTTGATCTTTTAGTTGACATATCCAGAGTTTCATGAGAGATGGCTTCTTTGCATGTGGACAGCTGTCACCATGTTCAAGTAATTAGTGTTCTTCTTCCTGGCAGTACTGACAGGCAGATTCTTGCCATAAAGAGGCCCTCTCAGGAGAGTCAGCTCTGATAAAACTTTGGAAAACTTAATGCCTGGTTGGGCACACCTCTGCCCAGATGAGTTCCTTAGAACTAAATGTTTCTGTCCATACTCATGGGACTTGGGCTGGACCCAGGAGGCTGTGAGTGCTAAAGAAATGTTGGAAGTAATAATGTTGTCTACTCTTGTCCATCTCTTAAGCCAGATCTCATGTCTTTAAATGTATTGAGGGTGCTTGCCATGGGGAGGAGGGTGTCCAAGGTAGTTAACTCTAGAAAGCCAATTGCCAAACTTGATTTCATCAGCATCTCATTTTCTCATTTATTTCACATTTTTGTATTGTTTGAATTTAACTCACAGTTATGTGCTGCATAATGATGTGTTGGTCAACAACTGGCTGCATTTACAATTGTGGTGTCATAAGATTGTAATAGAGCTAAAAAACTCCTGTCACTTCATAACATCATAGCCAATATAAATGTTGTAGTGTAATGCATTATTCACGTATTTGCAGTGATGCTGGTGTAAACAAACCTATAGCACTGCCAGTCATATAAAAGCAGAGCACATAAATAATGTACAGCATACATAATTTATGATAATGATAATAAATGACTATGTTACAGATTTATGTATTTACTATACTCCTTTTTGACATTATTTTCAAGTGTACTTCTACTTATTAAAAAAAAAAAAGGATTTACTAAAAAAGAGCCAGCAGTGGTCTCATATGTTTTATGTTTAATGTGCCTATTGATTACATCAAGAGGCCATATTGAAGCTGGGTGAGGTGGTGCACAGCTTTAATCCCAGTGACTGAGGAAGCCGAGGCAGGAGGATCAAAAGTTTAAGGCCAGTCTTAGCAACTTGGCGAGATCCTGTCTTGGTGGAAAAGAAAAAGCCACATGGAGTGATAATGATTGACCTAGACCAGATGGTTGTGCTTTGTGATGTTTGCACAATGATGAAATCACGTAATGATACGTTTATTTTTTTCATATATTTTTAGTTGTCAATGGACCTTTATTTTATTCATTTATTTATATGGGGGGCTGAGAATCAAACCCAGTGTCTCACACATGCTAGGCAAGTGCTCTACCATTGAGCCCCAGCCCCAGCCCCTGACATATTTCTTTGAATGTGTCCTATCTGTAAATGGAGCACGACTGTGTTGAGCACTGGGCCGGTGATTTTAGTGCCTCTGTGAATCAAAAAGCCCAAAAGGGGTTGAGAACAAAGCTGAAGGTGCTGGCTTGGGAAGACACTGGTTGTTGGATTCTGTGGACCTGATAATTGCCTATCCTTGTACTTCTCTATGGAAAGGAAGGATTCCCTTACATATACATATAAAGTCTACTTTAGCTGCATAGGTTTTTGCTATTATTTGGGCAATGTTAGCTGTTCCAGCAGATTAATTCCACTTCCCAATAGATTAAAACAATAAAAATCTCTCTCAGATTCCCCAGCAAGCTGGTTGGGAAGCTCTTGATGTGGCTTTTCAGAGCCTAGGCTCCTTCTATCTTGTGACTCTGACATCTGCCAGGTCCCGAGTTATTTTTACGCATCTGATGGGTTGAGAAGAGGGATTGTGTTTCTTAATCACTGGCTTAGAGAGACACCACCATCATATCATTTCCTAGAGTGACACCATCATCACACCACAGAACTAGTTCTGCCTAGAAACGGAATGGAGATACAGTTCCTGTTGGGCAGCCTCTTCTTGAAAACAACAATACACTATGGAGGAGGATCACTCTTCTATGATAATGAGACAACCATTTTATTTTATTTAAAATTTTTTATTTGTTCTTTTTAGTTATACATGACAATAGTATATATTTTGACATATTATACATACATGGAATATAACTTCCCATTTTTGTGGTTGTGAATGATGTGGAGTCACACTGGTTGTGTATTCATATAAACACATAGGAAATGTATGTCTGATTCATTCTGTCATTCCCATTTCCATCACCCTTCCCTTCCCCCGACTCCTTCCTGTCCAATCTGGTGAATCTCCCCCACTTACCCCCGCCCATGTGTCTATTGTGAGTCAGCACCTGCATATCAGAGAGAACATTAGGTCTTTGGTTTTTTGAATTGGCTTATTTCACTTAGCATGATAGCTCCAGTTCCATCCATTTATGGGCAAATGCCATAATTTCATTCTTCTTTATGGCTGAGTAATATTTCATTATATATATATATATATATATATATATATATATATATATATATATACATACCACATTTTCTTTATCCATTCATCTGTTGAAGGGCACCTAGATAGGTTCCATATAGCTTAGCTATTGTGAATTGAGCTGTTATAAACATTGTTGTGGCTGTGTCACTATAGTGTGTTGACTTTAAGTCCTCTTTAGTCAACCATTTAAAAAGGTATACTCACTCAAATGACTTTGGATCTTGGAAAACTTCAACATTTAATCTCATCGAGTCACTTTCCATAGGGATGCAGGCACATTAATGTTTATAGCAACAGAATTCACAACAGTCAAGATATGGAATAAACCTAGGTTCCTGTCAACAGATGAATTAATCTAAAACAATGTGGTATATTTACACAATGGAGTACTACTCAGCCATAAAGAAGAATGACATTATGGCATTTTCTGGCAAATAGATGGAACTGGAGACTATCACGCTAAGTGAAATAAGCCAGACCCAGAATTTCAAAGGTTAAATGTTTTCTCTGATATGCAGAAGCTAGTCCAAACTAAGAAAACAAAAACAACAAACAAACAAAAAACCCAAACAAAACAAACAAAACCAGAAAGACAGAAAAGAGGGGGATTCCATCAAAATAGAAGAGAGATCTATGGAATAGAGGAAAGGGATTTAGGGAGAAGGAGGAGGGACAGGATAGGAGAAGAAGAGTAGAATAGATCTGATCTCACTTTCCTATGTACATGGATGAATATACCACAGTGCTCTCACCATCCTGCACATCCACAAGGCACTAATTAAAACAACAACAACTATAAGTAAACAGTAAAAGTGGGAAGAGGATAGGGAGAGGAAAGAGAGGAGGGAAAGGGGAAGTGCTGGAGATTGAATTAGAGCAAATTATACTCCATGCTTTTATAATTATGTCAAAATGAATCCTAATGTTTTATATATAAAACTAAAAAGAACTAATTAAAAATGTCATTTTCCAACTCTAGCAATGGAAACTGCAAGAAAGAGAGATCATTTGGAGTCACTCAGAGGGAAAGTTGGGATTCCGATTTGCCACCACGAAGCTTCCTCCTTGTTCTGCACAAGCCATCAATGTACAGAGTGTGGAAGTCCATCTATTAGTCAGGAAGAGCTTTTGAAAGGTACAATTCCTGCAAGCATTGTAATAATGCAAATATAATATGTGTTTCCAAATATTATTAATATAATTTAACACCTTTTTGTGTAAGAAGTAGCTATACCTCTAGTAAATTGCTGGTGGAATTTTTAATTGTCTTAGCCATTTGGAGAAGAAACTAGCATTATATCTTAAAGTTGAAGGTGCTGGCATCCTCTGACCCAGCAACTCCATTAGTGTCATCAATAAGGATTTATTTCCAATCAGCAAACCCAGAAAAACCAAATTGTGCAAACATTGGCATATATAAGTGGCTCCCAGTGGTTTCGTTTTTCAATCAGATGATATTTGAAAAGCCTGAAAAATTGATCAAGTTCATATGAAAGAAAAAAAAAATCGATTCTGGAATACTGCTGTTGGTAGCTGAGCACGCACATCGACAGCAAATGTTGAAATGGTGGAGACCATGCTGTATGCCTCAGAGATTCTCAGGGCAAGTTTTTTTTTGGGAGTCAGCCTTTGGGATTACAATAGTGGCATACATAGTAAATTTTCTTTTTCCTTTTTATTTTAATTTTTTTGCAGCGCTGGGTATTAATTTTTTTGCAGGGCCTCGTGCGTGGGAGACAAGCACTCTACCACTAAGCTACCCACCAGCCCAGTATTCTCGTCTATAATCACGTATCTGAGGACTTCCCCTCTTCAGAATATGCTGGAAATATAAAATGTATACAAAATAAAATAGGCCTTTGAGCAACAGACACATGTCACAGATGTCAAGAGCTAAAGCTCCTGAGTTTCACCGTGAGGCTTCCTCACACACTGTCACTGTGAGCTTATTGAGTTTTGTTTTGTGTTTTTCCCTAATAAGCTTGGCTAGCTGTTTCCTCTTGTAAGCTGGTCTAGAAGTAGTAATCCAGAAATGTGTGTATGTGTATGTGTTCACCCTGAACGATCGTTCTTGATGGGGGGTGAGTTTGCCCCTCGATGCAGGGACATTTGGCGATGTCTGGAGGCCTCTTTGGCTTGACTGAATAGGAATCGAGAGTTGCTACTGGCATCTCGGAGGAAGAGGACAGGCTTGCTGATAAATGCACAGGAAGGTCCCCTTACCAGAACTAAGAATTATCTACCCCCAAACTGGGCTGGCAAGGACACCAGTGAGGTATGTGTGTGGTAATTTACAAATTAACAGTGGAGTAGAGGAAGAAACATGAAAAAAAAAAAACAAAAAGACGCAGGCACTTAAAAAAATAAAATTCACAAAAGCATGTTAGTGTTGCACCTTTTAGCATGGAGGCAAAGAACTGTATGCATGCCAATAACCTCTAGACTAACGCTGTATTTGGGCATTGAGTCATAATAGCTGTTCCAATAATGTTAATATATTCAGCTTAATAAAACAGGTGGGGGATGTTTATTACCTGCAGCTAAGCAGGGACTGTGGATGGTAAAGAATGGCATCCAAGATAAACAGACATCTCTACACTCTGCCTGGAGCTAAGGGACTGTTTGCTACCAGTGTATTAGAGGCAGAATTTATGTAGGAAAGTACCTGTATTAAGGAGTCTCCATTCTGCTGCTGTGTGACCTTGGATGGTCTTAAATCTTTTGTTTCTGCAGGGAATTATAATGCCTTCTATGCTTAGTGTTACAAAGACTAAGTAAAAATATTTTTAAACTGTCTGATACATATAAAAAACTCAATAATGATAGCTCTTATTACTATAGTAAATACATAATAAGTAATTTCTAATAATAAAATGTGTTTTATACTTAGAATATATCTATATAAAAACACAAAATAATGAATAAACCTCAGTTCTTTAAAATTTGATGCTCTGACATCTAGACATTCTGATATTTTGGTACTTGACAAATAAGTAGTAACTGGCTTAATCTCAATGGCTTGACTTCTGGTGATGGTCTCCCTCGCCCAATGCACAGTCAGCTGGGGGGAAGTTTCTGGAACATCATCAAAGGGGGAAAGAATCTCTAAATCAGACAGTCCTCAGGGATTGGGGAAAGGCTAAATATAAATAAATAAACTTGACACGGAACAATGGGTTGCGTTACTTTATTTTGTTGAACTTCCTTTACCCAGTAGCAATTCAAGGCTTGCCTAGCCTGGCTCCTACAGTCTGGGAGGGCAAGGCAGCCCCACAGGAAGTGCACACTGTCCTGTCCCTTCTAACAGAAAAAAACCAACATTGGTGGAGCAGTCATGCATGTAGGGCATGCGCACAGGTACCCATGACCAGCTCTCCTTCAACTCTGAGCCTCTTACCGCTTCATCTTCAGACAGCACTGAGCGAGTATCCCAACTTCGGTGCTTGCTAACTAGATGCAGTTCAATAACAACTCACATCTTGTAGAGAAGCAAGTTATTTTATCTCTAAGCTCAGATTCCTCCCCTATATAATAGGGGTAGTAATAGTTTCTATTTCACAGGGTCATTGTGAAATAGAAAACATATTATTAAATAAAAATTAAATGCTTGCATTCAATAACTAATAGATATTAGCTCTGAGTTGTTATATATAGGAGCTTAAATGCTAGTCATTCTTTTTATTATTAATTGGAATGGCTTTGGATGAAGATCTTATTGATTATCATCATGATAATTTTGTTCCTAGGTGGCAAGATCTTCAGGATGATTCATCTATTGGACTTACAGTAGTTTTAAATTAGTTCTTGAAAGTTAAATAAATAAATATGGGCTGAGGATGTAGATCATTGGTAGAATACTTGCCTAGCACGTGTGAGGCCCTGGGTTTGATCCCTATGCACTGAAAAAGAAAATAAAGTTGAGTAAATTTTGCTTTTAATAAGAAATGAGAAAATGTTTCCTTTAAAACAAAATACAAACAATATCATTTTTCATACAGTAACAGTTTGGATAGGGAACATTATCAAATAGAAGAAATTGCTGTAGAAGTGACAAGCTCATTGTTTAAATCCTTTTATAGTTTTACACTGGCAAAAGGAATATGTTTTGTTATATCCCACACGTCATTTAGAATATTCTGGGCTCTTAGTTTTTTTTTTTCTTCTATATTATTCTCTGTTTTAGAAGATGTGAACAGCAAGGGTGCTCATTGGCTTAAGCCTGATATCCTTAGTGCAATCCTCTCTGTTCCTATAATGCATGATTTTTGAGGTCTGCATATATAAAAGCCAGAACTTGTCTCAATTGGGACAAACTTTGATTTTTTTGGCTACCTGAGCAGATAAAGATGAGACAGCAGGAAAAACAGAGTTGTAGGTAGTAATGATTCCTTGCTTTAGGGCTTAGACCTGGGCCATCTTCTCTTTTAATACTGACTTGCTGAGGGATTTCATTCTGTCTGCTGAGTTTATTTCACTATTTCAGCCTTTTGTTCCGTGACTGTCCCAAACTGGCTACAAATTGGAGGGTTCCTCCACCCTTCAGGTTCAATAATTTGCTAGAACAACTCACAGAACTCAGGGAAACACCATATTGTACCATTGCAGTTTACTAAGAAAGACACAAACCAGGACCAGCCAAATGAAGAGATGCAAAGCATGAGGTCTGAGGATTTCCCAAACGTGAGGCTTCTGCATCCTCAGTCCACATCTAACGCTGCCTCTTCACTTGGGCTTGCTGATGTCCAATGGATGACAGGAATGAGATGAAGAGGCTCGGCACTTCTGTTTTCATATTACATCTACTCCTTTGGTGCCTTAACTTTTGGGTCTGATTCTACCTGACTTTGCATGTAGACATGTTGGTGGCCCGTGGGAACTGGTATGTTTTCTTCCACCCCCATTCTTGTGCTTTTTCAGCAACAGTAGCAGCCCAAGCACCTGAAAGTCTATCAGAAGGCCCAGACAGAGCCTCAGGCCAGGATGTTTGCACAGGATGATGGTATCAGCAGCAAGAGTAGCCTAGCAATTCCTGGGAAAAGTTGACCATGACTGCCCAGTGGTATGAATCTCATGCAGAAAGAAACTTCTTTTGGAACCGTGCCCCTGGCTGGTGGAAAACTACAGGACTTTAGCTCACCCCTAGCACATCAATAAATGCTTACAGGTCCCTTTGTTTTGGGAGCGCCCTGGTCCTTTGATCAGCACTCTCTCCCTTCCCTGAAGCCCCAGTTGTAGTCTTGCCCATATGTTCCCACTCACTTGACTGGATTTTGTTCCTTCCATCACCCAGTCAGAAGTCCGTCTCCACTATGGGGACCCTGGTACTAGAGGCTGATGCCTCAACTGAAGAGAGTCTGGCGGAAGATAGTGTCCTCAACCTTTGACATGGGACTGAACTCCAGGTACCAGGATTGCATTGCGCCAACCTACTTGTTAAGGCTTCAGACTGAGAAGTCATCCATCATTTCTTCCTTCTGCTCCCCCACCACAACCAATCTACCCCAAAGCCCCGTAGTTTCTACCTCCAAAACGTAGCCCAAACCCATCCACTTCTCCCCATCTCTGCTGCCACCACCCCAGCCCGAGCCATTGACCTTTCTCACCTGAACAATTGTGTGGCCACTTCTTTGGTCTTCCTCCCTCCACTTATGCCCCTTGGAGCCACTGTTGATTCTCCACTCAGAGATCAGGCTGATCTTTAGAAACATAAATCAGTTAGTGACGTGCCTCTGGAACAAGGCTCCCATAGTTATCTCCAAGACTTGGAATAAAATTCGGATTTCTTCCTAAGGCATGCAAGGTTGGGCACAGACTTACTCCTGTTTGTCTAACCTCAATTCCCCTTACTTCCTGTGATCAGACACACTGGCTTTGATCCTTTAACACAGGGATAGCCAACCTGAAAATTAAACTCACCTGGAGAACTTAAAAACTAGCACAGGAATGAGGCTCGGGTATCTGTAGTTTAAAAAGCTCCCCAGGTGAATCTAATGGGCAGCCAAGGCTGAGACTCAGAGTGTTAACACTGCAAGCTCTATGCTCTGGGCCTTTGTTCTTCCTGTCCTCTCTGGAATGCTGTTCCCAAATCTCAAAATTGCAGGGTCTCAGTTCAGACATCACCTCTTCTG